CAGGAGCGTTTTGAATGTCTCTGGAGAAGGAGGCTCCACCACCTCCATGGGCAGCCTATTCCAGTGCTCTGCCACCCTCAAAGTGAAGAAGTTCCTCCTCATGTTTAGATGAGGGGGAAGTGATAGTGAAATGGAAGATGTAGAGAGTCATACCCACTTATGCATTTTTTTAGAATGATGTGTTTGAAACCCTTTTGAGTAGCCTTAGGCGGCATCAAACTTTCATTCCTGGGGTTTTTCAATTATGAGGCTGATACCCTGCATTGCCTTCACTAGTCTTTGTGAGTAACTGGTCTCTATGCTTTGCTCAATAATACCATAGTTCATGCAAGATCATCTTTTTCTACATTTCTTCTGCATCTTTTTGCCTTCCAGTGCCTACAGAAGTATTGAACTAGCTGAACTGTTAAGCCAGTGAATTCCTGTTGCTTTTTTTTTTCCTTTTTCCATAGCAATCCCTCTTTAATACTGGATGAGTTTATCAGCGTTGATACCTGTCCTTAGGTCAGAGGGATGGACAGACCATAGCAGATTGAGGACTAAACTTAAGGACTGTGGTTTTCTATACTTTACAGAAAACTGCTTGAAGATTAGTATTTCAGAGCCCCAGTTTAATACATACCACCTGTAAGTTTATAACAATTAGCTTATAATTGCCATTCAGCTCATTTGATGTTTATTTTCATGAAATGCAGCCTTTTTGCCCTTCCTCTTCTGCCTCTGGTTTCAATACTTCCATAATTTGCAACTGTTACATTGTGCTGTAGCGTTATTAGCTCTCATACTCTCATACTATAATGACTTCATCTTCAAGTGTCAAGGGCATGTATTACGGCACCAAGTCCCTTAAACCCAGGTTTTGTTCCAGCCAGTGAGCTAATGTATACTAAACCACATAGAAATCCATTTTCTGCAATTAGTTCTCACTCTATCTTGCCTTTATACCACTCAAAGACTTTCGTTGTGTTTTCAGCTGTTCTGGGTTCTTTTTGTTCCCCCAACACTGAAAGGAGCACCCACTGTTTTTACTGAAGGGGCTAAAATGTGAAAAAACTGAACAGCACTAGAACTCTAAACACAGCCTCTTTTTCAGGTCTTGGTCCTTTCTTCATATGTCTGTTCTTTCTTATGTTAGTCCAATCGCTAATAAGATCTTGCAGAAAACTGATTTTTCTTTTTTTCTTGCTGTCTATTATTTAGTTGTTTAAACAACTAAAAAAAAAACTCTGAAGCTGTTTAAACAACAGCTTCAGAGATTGAGAGAAACTCTTGCAGCTTGTGTTTAGGATTTGCCTGGTTTTGTTGACAGAAACCATCTGTAACTTACCAGTACTATTAAATATTTAAATATACGTTTCTTACACATATAAAATATATAAATACTAAAAATATAGCTATATCTAGGTATTTTATTAATTGTTAGCTTGTAACAGAGTGCTTCCAAGGGCAAAGTCTGCCCAGCTTTGGGTACTTGTTTCCTGCACTTGCTCAGGACAAGCATCAAGGAAATTGTGGACCTGAATTTTCCTCGCCTGAAAGCTCTGGTGGAAGTCATGATGTCAGTGTGTTGACTGGGGAGCTTTGCCGTAAGCATCATGGATTGTGACCGTAGCAAACCTTAAATAGTGTCTTAAGAGGAGAGTTTTTAAGTCACTTGTGTTTTGAGCATCTTTTAAAACACAACATAAGCAGTTGAGAGATTCTTTCTACAGTTGGTGCTTGTAAGATACCTCTTCAGTAGCTTCTGAACAGACAAGCAAAAGTTTGGTCATCTGAACTAAAAGACAAACTTCTTCTTCTGACAGAAAATACTGTTCCCTGTCATACACTCTCCTCTTGTTGTCTGGCAGCAAGAACAACAACAGGGTAAAACTTGTAAAAATTATTACTTATCTTGGATTGGACCCTTAGTTTGGGCTGTGATGAATTTAAATGTCTTAGAGGTAGGAAAGACAGAATCTGCTCCACAAAAAGTTGAGCTTTTTAGGGTAACTTGAGTAATGTTTTTAAAAGTGCTTCATATTTCTGAGAGAGTTAAGTTCAAGCTCAGCTGAAAATCAAAGATGGAAAATAAGTTATTGATTGACTGGAGGAGGATGAGTAAAGTAAACCAGTGACATTCTCTTTATTCTCAGCAATAAATTGCAAACAAAAGAGGACAGAAGGAAAGATAAATTATTAATCTGTGAGCCCAGATGAGCTTTTGTTCTTCTTTTGCAGCTGTTGTTTTTTTCCTGGTGGCCAGACTTCACTTTTATTTTAAGAGTTTTCCATAAACATAAGAGAGGTGTATAGCTACTTGCCTTTGGAGTTAGAATTTCTAAGGCTAGGTGCCCGTGTAAGAGGGCCTGGCCGTTGCAAGGTGTTCTCAGAGGGAACAACAGAAACTAACTTCTGCATCAGACTAGGCTGTAATGTGAGAAAAGAAGCCACCCGACACTTGGCTTTTGGACATCTGTCCCTGGAGGGAAAATTTTCACAGAAATAATTGCATTTTTTTAAAAGTTTGTCTTTTTCGAATTGATGTATCAGTGTATCTCTGTTACATACTGGGAGCTAAGTCAGGGTGTCTTTTAACCACTCGTACTGAAAACCTTACAAAAAGCATTGTGTACAGTCCCTTTAGTTCCAATATTATTTTCTATTTCAAATAAAGATGTTTTTAAAAAAATGTTTTAATCCCATGGAATCCAGATGTATTGAACACTTTACTAATGAATGTTTTATGGAGATTTCTTATCAGCCATCTTTCAATTGAAACTGTCAGATGTGAAGAATGCTGCAAAATATTTCCCCTTAGAGCTCTGATGTGTGAATTCCTCTGGCCGCTCAGACATATTATGGAGTGGTTGTGTTGAGCCAGAAAGCAGAAAGACCGTCTTGAGTATGCCAGAAAGTAGAAAGACCATCTTGAATATGTGCCTGCTTCTAATTATGGGAAGGCATCATGGCACAGAGAAGGCCTGTCTTCTGGGTCATTGATCTACACACGTTTTTTGTTGCTGATCTGGTTTTGAGTGTGGCTAGAGGATCTTGACACTTTGTTGTAAAATTAGGTGTGTTTATGTCCTGTATTAGCTCAGATGACACCCTTTTCTTGCTACCTATATGACTGCTTGATCAGCCTCACTCAGGCTCACTATTTATGTGGGCATAGACAGTAGATGGAGTTAAAAGAATTTAGTAATTGCTAATTCAGCAAATGAGTTTGTGTGAGGAATGACAGTTTAGCAGTGGATTGGCTTAAATTAAGTAACTCAGACTTCATAGATCTCGTGAAGACAAGCCCTCTGATGAGATCTACTGAGCTCACAGAAACAAAGGAACTGAGCAAGACCCCTATTTTCCTGTACTTTTGTTTGTGTGTGTGTGTGTGTGTATGCACTGCTTTGGGTTCTTTTCCTCTTTTAGGACAAAAGAAAAAAAAAGCTTAGCTAGATGTTATTTGCTTTTTACAAGTTAAAACAAGCAAGTGGAAAAACATAGAATTCTCTGTGAACAATTTATTTTTAGTTCATTTGTTCAGGATTAAGTAATCCCCGAGATGAGGCATCATGAGTCAGATTATTCATTATAAATTGTAGTAAAATGTCGTAATTTACAGGTTCCTGTACAAGGGAATTACGGAGTAGATCATTATTTTGAAGTGGGTGTGGTTTGTGGATGGGATTTCCTGTAATGTATGAAATATCCGGGTAGTGATCAAAACAAAATGGGTTTTTGAAAGAAAGAATTAGCTTTTAAAGTTCTTGCCAGGCACATTTTGAATAAGAAATTTAAGAATTGTCTTAGTGGTTGAATCTTGATGTATTGAGTCCATATCTCCAGCAGAGCATATGCAGGCTCTCACAGACTCAGTGCCTTATCCATACTACTCAATTTGTGCTGGGACGTAAATTTGGCCCATCCTGTGAAATGGGTATGTTTTCCAGTCTCTTCTGGCTTTTCCTATTAGATTTGCAATCACATTTAAGTCGTATCGGTAAAATATCTTTTTAGAATAAAGAAAATGCCATTTAATTTTCATGTGTAAAATTTAACAATAATTGAGGCTGGGTGCCTTGATCATTCCATCCAGTCCCCTCTCAAAGCACAGGCAGCTTCAAACTTAGATTTGGTGGCACAGGCCTTGTGAGGTCAAGTGCTGATTATTTCCAAGGATGAAAATTCAAAAAGTTCTCTGGAAAACCTGTTCCAGTGCCTGACTAGTGGTGTGACATATTTCCTCCACCTCCCCCCAGCTTTAAATCTAACAGAAATTTGCTGTGCTCCTGTGTCCTTTTGGTGTGAACCCCTGAGAAGAGCCTTGCTCTTCCAAATATGTAAATGCCCATTAAGGAACTGTGGGTAGCAATTAGGTTCCCCCTTTGTCTGGGTCTACTCCAGGCTGAAGAGACCCACATCTCTCAGCCTGTCTTTGTATGTCGTGCACTTTGGTCCCCATGCCATATGTGTGGCCCTTTAAGTTTTTGGGGTTTTTTTTATATATTGATATCTATTTAGAACTATAATCAAATGCCTGTTCGTTATAAAACACTTGGCAAATAGACAGACCAGATGCTCTAACAAGCCTCTCTTCCTTCTTTGATTTCTATCATTTATTTTGTGGAAAGTGTGAGAAAACTCTCTCAAAGGATATGTACTAAAAGAGACCTATTGTATAAATCCACACAGAATTCAGAGAATGCAAAATACCAGCTACTCTGTGGGAATTCATCCTCTATTATTAGCGTAGGCAAAATGAGTCAATTAAAACATTTCTGTTGAACTACTTGTTCTTTCAAATCCTTTAATTGCTCAGCTGACGACAGGAAGACTAAAATCTAGAAACTGTTTGGGAGAAGATCGTATTTGATTATATTATACTGAATTAGTCTCATCAACCACTTGATTTTGCAAGAAGCGTTTGTTTCAGCTTCTGAAGAAGGTTTCTGTTCTGGCAAAAGCATTAATCATGGATTGCCTCAATTGAAAATGTGTGCATATTTTCCCTCCTCAAGGGTGATGCAGATGGTGACAAGCCCCTGGAAGTCCACGCGGCTTCAAAAGAAGAGCGTGCCCAGAAGTAGAACACCCCATCACTCGGCATCAGACAGGTAAAGGAGAAAGGCTGTTAACAGTATGTGGCTGCAGCAGCAAAATAACTGGAAAAGCTGAACATTTGCAAGTTTGACTCGTAGTTTTCTTCTTCGTATTGATGAACAAAGGGGGGAAGAGAGGTAATAAATTTATGCATCTTAACATTTGTCAAGGACATGCGTGCTTCTTAATACACTTTAACTTGCCTAAATAATTCATCTTTAGAGCATAGCAAGCAAACATACGTGTCCTCCAGTGGTTCTGAGGTAATTTAGCAAGGCCTTGGTAACATATTGTTGTTTGGTTGGTTTTGGGGTGGGTTTTTTTTTCTCCTTCTTCCCTTCCCATTTCTGCCGCCTGTACCAAAAACCTCTTGTCAGGCCTGTGCAGGTATGAAGGAGGGTAAGGAAACCTATTCCTCTTTTCTCTAAAGATATGTCAGTGCGAGGATGTAGTGCTATCTTAAAGCCTGAAACAGTCCATGATGTGCCTGACCTTTCATGTTGATGCAGCTCCCTAATGAGACGTGGTTAATCAGTTGGGAACGAATGCCGGAGGAAGCAGAGGCAGCGCTTCCCAGTTCTCCCAGCCAAAATCTCAAACTGAGACGCCGGTTCTGTTCCTGGCTTTGCCACAGGCTTGCTTTCTAAAGTCAAGCAGGTCCCGTGATTGTTAGAGTTTCTAGAAAAGCAAAACAAAAACACCCTCTCAACTTTCTTAAGACTTTCTTTCAGTTTCAAGGGACAAAAATGGCTCTGTATTCGAGGCTCATTATTACTAATGATAATGTAACTGGGCATCATTTAGTACAAATATTATGTATTATTTTCACGTTAAAGACTTACATTTCGTCAGAAAGTGATCCTAGCATTGTAGGGACAACTCCTTATTTTTGTATGCAGTGTTCCACTTACCAGTAAAATTCTTTTTTTTTTCCTAACTGTCAACTGTGTAAACAAGAGTCCGGATTTAGGAAACTGCACCAATTTTATCTTCCATGCATCATCACCAGTCACAAATGTTTGCAGATGTGATGGAACGCCCATGTCTGCTGAGCAACAGTGTTCCCCTATTACACAGTCAGCTTTAAAAGCAAAACTAGTTTCTAACGTTGCATTTCCCTTAATGTATTTTTAATTGCTATAGCTAACTCTCACAAGGAAAAAAGGGTATGACGACTGGCTGATTTACTTAGTACATTAGTTTTTCCTTCAGTCATATGAATATAAAGTCTTTAAGAATCATATTTTCCAAGTATTTTTCAAAATGGCCATATAAAATAAAAAAATATAAAAAAAAAAAGGAAGAACAGTTTTTGTTTTGAGTAGAGGTAGCCAGGAGAACCAAGAGGAAGAAAATCTTCTCTAAAATTCACTAAAATATTGTGGTTGTTTTGAACTAGAACAGAGCTACTAAATGACAAAAAGTCAGGAAAATTGAACTTTTGTTCATATATGTGGGACACTCTACAAATGTCAAGGTTCATTACCAACATAAACCTTTTCGCATTTCTTACTATGTGAATGTAATTTTTGTTAGGTCTTTATTCACTTTTTGAAATATTAGTGCTTTTTGCTAAAGGTACGTTTTCTCTTTAAGGGGAGGATGGGTGGTAGGAAAGGAACAAAAGCTGTCAGGAAGACTTATACTAAAGTTGGTGTCCAGCCCCTTTTGTCTTCAGGATTTTAATCATAAATATACTCATGCTATAGAAGTAAGTTTTGAGGAAAACCTCACTAACAGCTGCTGTCTCAGACTTCTTTTTATGAAGAGTGAAGATAGTTGCTCAGGTGCTGCTAGTTTTGAAATCTAGTTGCTTTGCCACATGTTGTTTCTGGAGGAAATACATAAAGGGAACTACTAGATTTTTTGACCTAGAGCAACCAGAGGGTGAAAGTTCAATTCAGTATCAATTTTCAGCTGTTCTGCGGGGGTGGTAATTTGTTACTTCTGTTGAAATCAAATCCGGTTATTTAGCTCCATACCCAAGTCCAGATGTTTTGTTGGATTTGGGTCATCTGAAAGGTTGGAAGACGCTGCTGTGATCTTTGAAAAGACATATTTGTTTATTCTAAATGAGATCAGCCCTGAAAGTCTCACTGTATTTTCAACTGTTGGCAATATTCCTAGTTGAATCTGGTTACTAAAATAAATACAGTCTCATTTCCCTCATAAAGATTTGCCACAGCGTGTCCCTGAATTGCAAATGGTCAGCCAAGGACAAAATCACTTTGGGTTGGAGACCGTAACATTCCAAAAAAACAGCAGGATTGCACCTCCTTTATTGTAGTATGTTTGTCATCAATAATTATATGCAAACTACAGCTCAAACCACATCCCATTGTGGGAGAAGCAAGCCTTAATTTTATCCAGCTGTTGTGCTGAAGAGTTGCACGGAAGTGACATGGCTTTATGTTTTTCCATGAAGATAACATATCTCATTGTCACTCTCTTAAGGTTTTATATTTATGTAATTCCATTTCTTCCAAGTTAAATTACCCTAGCTTTACAACAGAGTGAGTGAGTTTGATGGGAATTAAAAAGAATTCTATTTGAGAAAGTTAGTTTGTTTATTACGCAAGATTGCAGTTGGAATTTTGTTGCTAGGAAGTGTTCCTTCTCTTTTATGTTTCCATACAGTTCAACTATAGGAATCAAGTTCTCTAGACCACACATGATCATTAGTGCTCTGATATCCTTAATATGAAGAGTTAAATCTCTTTATTAGAAGTGTATTGGGATTGAGAAATTTCTTTGTGGCAAGGTGATCAAAATCTGTTTGAGGAACAAAGTCATAATTGCACTCTGACAAATGAAAGAAAAATTCTATGATACTTAATTCATATTTCTCTCTTCCCCTTATCCTCTGCCCACTTTCTTTGGTTATAGGTGAACCAAAAAAATATAGATAAGAGCAACAATTTTACAAGAAAAAGAGGAAAACCATCTAAATAAATCCATTTTGATTTTGAATGTGATTGATCTGCCTTCTGCCTCAGGAAAGACTGACGGTGTGCTGCTTGGGCTTCTGGTATGGAATCTGTGAAAGGACACTACGTATCTTGGGTCAGTCTTGAAACCTTGTCCTCGATTCTGCGGTGGGACTCGAGTCAGCCCGTGCTTGTCCTATTGCAGGATCAGCATTGCAAGTAGCAAGTCTCAAAATTCCTCAGTCTCTTGTTAATATTTATATATAAAATATATAAAATAAAATTCCGGTTAAACAAAACGGTCTTGTTTTTTTCCCCCTCTTTTATTATCTTTAAACTCATGCATGTGACATTTGTACAGCCTGTGGAAGGTTCTCGAGATGCTGTTGACAATGCCTGTATTTTTTAACAGTGAGGAAAAGCTTAAAGTAGCATGATGTTTTGGCTAACATTAGCTAATAGAATTACGATTGAGAGCAATTACAATGACTCTTGTGTTTTGTCTGAGTCTCCCCCTCCTTTCTATAGAAATCTTCTGCCTCATCAGCGCCAGCAGGAGGTATATAATGAAGCATCTGTGAGTTCCTGTCTAGTAGATGGATGGGAATGGAGCTGTTGATGTTTGTTCTTGTTTTTGCTTGAATGCACAGCTCAATGGGAACCAGAACGTTAGGGTGGTGGGAACCAGCTATAGAATAACGTGGCTGTTTCCTTATTCCCAGCCAGGGGAGGGGAGGAGAAAGTGAAGCGAAGGGAAATACAAAAGGATTTCCAGCATTTTGAAATCTTTGCACAATAAAACCCTTTCATCATTTGTTGCCATTTCCATGAGTCTCTTTTTTGGGGCGTGGTGCTTCACAAGTTACTGTAATCCAAGTAGATCAGAGCATTTAAAGCTTTAATGGTGAGTCTTAAATGTTCCTAAATCAATGAGTGAATATGAGGGCTGGGGGAAGGATGGAATTAAGTGTGTGCTCGTATGATATGTTAGCTTTCGACAAAGAAAATACAAAGTAAATCATATTCAAAATGCTTTTAAACATCTCTGTTATGACTTGGTTAGGTATTCTGGCTGAATGTATTCCACAGACTTTTAGGGAAAAACAAACAGACCTTGGCAACGTGAATACCAGTCTGTGTGGGCATTATAAAACAGGCCAGCTCTTTTAAATACAGGCATAAGGCGTGTGGTTGCCTCAGGCAGAAAAACAGCATCTCCCAAAGTGTTTATTGCATGTTTTCATAATTGTTTTAGGCTGGTAGAGATGGATGTTGATTTAGTAAAGGGAGCAGGGTTCTTGCGTGGGGCTCGGGGTGAGTGTGTGTTTGTTTTCTACTTTAAATTCGCCAACATAGTTCAGACAGACTTGGGAGGATCAAAGTAGTGTTTTTGTCAAGAGTGGGAAGGAAAATTGGGAAATATCAGTCATAACTGTAACTGCTCTGTTACACCACTCTTGCAATACAAGAATACATCTGTTTCTTCTCTTAGAGATAGCCCTTCACTTAGGCATTCTCGTATCCTAGAGAAAATGATTACCATTGAGTTAGGAAAACAGATTTAGATGTCTGTATTTTTTTTCAGTAATATTTGGCTAATGCCACATAGGCATTTAAGAATACAATTACTTGATAATTTGGCTATTTTTACCCCTAGACCTCCACCAAGGTGTGCTTTCCTCATCTCCTTTTTGATGAGGTTGTTAGCTGTTCTGTTTCTTTCTACTGCCTGTGAGAGCAACATGAACCTTTTGACATCCAGCCTGTTTCATTAGCCTAGTCCTCATGCAAACGTTACAGCTCTTAATCTCTCTTTGTTTACATATATATGTGTATGTGTGTGTTTTAAAAAATCTGGGTTAAATATGTATCACTTGTTTTAAGCACTTTTTACTTGATCACATCTTCGTACTGCATATTTATACCCCTGCTTAAAAACGACCCAAGCCATAGACACCAAACCAGAATGCTTGTGTCTGGCAGGAAATGACTGCCTTGGAGCACCTGCACGCACACGTGACGAGGAGACGGTTCCAACATGTGAGCAAGGTAGCCCTAAATGAAATCCTTTCCATGTGTCTTCTGTTTTTCACAAGTACAGGAAATATAAAAAAAAGTTTCATGCTGGTAAGAGTGCAGGAGACAGTAAACGTTCAACTCACTTGGCACAGACTTTCCTAATGAGGAGCAGGAGCGCAGTTGACCACTGTTCACATATATATATATATATGTATGTACACAGATGCATGGAACCAGTTTATGCATGAATGTGTTATCTTTTGCCAGACTTTGCCTGTGGGTATTACAACGTAAGCTGAATAAAAATGGTATATTTCCCACCCAGATGTCACATCAACAGTTTGGTCATCCTTCCACCCAAAGCCTTTGGGCTTGGTAACTGGAGTCTGTGCAACTGAGGAGACTCTGCTCATCTCAGCATCCTCGGTGACCGTTAGCAGGTGTGTTGGGGCCAGGTTGCAGTGCTCTCTCTTAAAAACCCCAGCTTTGATCTCTGCAGCGTGTGGAAATTGTGGAATTGGAGATCACCAGGTTGGCCTACACAGCCCTCAGTGCTGGGGTGACAGTTACTGTAGGTGGTGTGTTAGTTGTCTAAGGAGGACAGTGTAGCTGCTCCTTTTGCTAGAAAGAGCGTCACGCACAACCTGGCAGCCTGGAATAAAATCACAGTATTTTGCCACAAGTGTTCATTGTGAAAATCTGTGTTGGGCTCGGTGCTCTGAGTACAGAAAGCCCCAGACACAGACTCACTACCAGAGGTTGCAACTGAAATGTTTCTTTGTTGCATCCGTCACCTTCGAAGAGAGCTATCATGACCAGCAGAAGTAGGGAGGTGATTGTGCCCCTGTACTCAGCACTGGTGAGGCCACACCTCGAGTATTGTGTCCAGTTCTGGGCACCTCAATACAAGAGAGATATCGAGGTGCTGGAGCGAGTGCAGAGGAGGGCAACGAAACTAGTGAAGGGCCTGGAAAACAAATCATATGAGGAACAGCTGAAGGAGCTGGGACTGTTTAGTATGAGGAAGAGGAGACTGAGGGGAGAGCTCATCACTCTCTACAGCTACTTGAGAGGACACTGTAGAGAGGTTGGTGCTGGTCTCTTCTCACAGGTAATTAGTGACAGAACGAGAGGGAACGGCTTCAAGCTCCAACAGGGTCGGTTTAGACTGAACATTAGGAAGGAATTCTTCACAGAGAGAGTGGTCGGGCATTGGAACAGGCTGCCCAGGGAGGTGGTGGAGTCACCATCCCTGGATGTGTTTAAGGGACGTTTAGATGCGGTACTGAGGGACATGGTGTAGGGGAGGACTTTGTAGAGTAGGGTAGATGGTTGGACTCGATGATCCCAAGGGTCTCTTCCAACCTGAATGATTCTATGTTTCTATGATTCTGTCTGTAGCTGCACTGTAGGAAAGGGACAGAGTGGTATGGAGGAGATCGTATTTTAGACCTAGAGAAGAGAATGCCCTGGGAGTTGGAGGGGCTACCGCTCTCTTTATTATATTAGACCCGTGAAAAACATCTCCACGTGAGCACGTTTGCTTGGGATGGGGCTGAGCCCCTGCTGCATGTGTATCTTTTTCCCCCTTTCTTGTTTTTCAAAGGTTATTTCTGTACCTTCCCGTAAATCCCAAGCCCCGTTGGAAAGCCAATTTTATCATCGTAAGCTGCTCTTGACACAGAGCATTTTGGCTCTTCAGGCCTGCTGGGGGGGCCCATGGGATGTAGCGTCTCCAGGCAGGGTGGGCTGTTGCGCCTGGGTGGCCCGGCAGCTGGCTGGGTCAGCTCTGCTGCTGGGTGGTTTTGACAGGTACAAAAGCTTCCTGTTTACAAGGAAAAACCTTTGATAACGGGTGTCTTAACTACAAAGCAGAAGATGTTTGTAATTGTGTAACAATCCCCTGTCCTCTCAAGGCTGGACCATTAGCTGATTATGGTTTTTTTTGATTGTTTATGGTTCTTAATGGGACAGGTGTTGACAGCTTTCTCAAGGTCCTCTCTGTAAGCAACGTTGGTTTATTGATGCAATTGTGTTGTTTTCTCCTGTTTGGTATCAGTGGAGTTCATCATGCGCCTCTCTGGTTAAAGACCAAAGTCTGGGCTTTCCTATCTTGCCTTGAAGTTCATGGATCCCAGCAGAAGGCTGCTCTCGCTGCTACGTTGTCAGGCGGGTGTTACTGGTAGCCATTGCGTTGGGGTCTAAAGGTGGAGAAGTCAAAGGTGGGCTCAGGCTGTCTCACAGCTGGCTACCAATCTTCTTCCTCTAAAAATACCTTTCTGCAGGGGAAATGGAGCTACAGGGCCTGCACCAGACTAAGCTGTCAGGCTCCCTGACTCCTCTTATTTTTGGGGAGGGGCTTGCATTTAAAAGTCTACCAACTAACTAGTTGGTCATGTGGGCCATGTCCAGCTGCAGCAGGTAAGCTGGATGTGACGCTCCATCACCAGGCGCACTTACTGAGGCATGGTCTTGCTACTGGCAAGCTTTGCTGGATCTTCTGGAGTGAGGAAGATAGGCCCTGGGTGACTTGCTACTGCCTGCCTGGGAATAGCCGTGCAGCAGCCCGAGCTGTGATGGGATTCACCATCCCAGAGTCTGTGTGCCCACCATGGAAATGGCAGTGGGGGCAATGGGAGAGCTTGGTCAGGGAACTTCTCTTTTCTTACAGGGTGGATATAAACCTGCCCAAGACTTGAAGAACTTAATTTGATAGAGACTAAAGCTAAAGGAGATGCTTTACATGGAGTCTGAGCATCCAGATCTTGTTTGGCAATGCTGACGTGTCCCCGTGAAGGGACTTGGCGGTGTGCTCTTTGGCAGGGAGGGCAGGTGCTGTGTCAGGAAGTCTGTTGGTCTGTTACCACTTGGGTTCTTCAGTTCTTCTCCCCAAGGAAGGTGGTTTGCAGCCCTGAGACTGCTGTGCAGGCAAGCACCGGGAGGCTGTGTGTGGGTGCCTCCCCTTGCTCGGGGGGCTTGCTCAGCATTCATTTTAAGGTAGTGGTGAGATCAGCAGCTGCACGCCTGGATAAAAAAACAAGCTGAAGAGGAGAACTTCATTTCTTCCTTCTTTGGCCCTTGACGGTGTGAAGGCTACAGAACCACACCACCTCCTGTACCGAAATCTTCCAGAATCTGTCCCCCACTGCATCCCAAGCTCCCAACGCTGACTCTCAACCTGAATTACCTTCACTCAACTCCAGGGTGCAGCCTTTGAAAGAGCAACCAACTTTCTTTGAACTGAAAAATAGCCGTATCCAGGGCTTGGCCCCGAAGGCTGAGGCGCCCTGGGAGCCCGCTGTGCCCCTGCTCTGCCGGAGAGGCAGAGGAGGGAGGAAGGACGCCCGGAGCAGAGGTGTGTGTGGTGATGGTCCCTCCCTGCCAACTCACGGCTTTACCTCGGGGGTAAAACCTCTCTGATTTTTCCCAGCGATGGGGGCGGGGGGGGGACGCTGAAGCATGAAGCCAGAAGAGTCTTCGTGACTGTTGGCACGTACCAGCCCCGGGTGACGGGCGGGCAGCTGTGGGGGCAGCCCTCTCCACCAGTGTTAGCCCATTTGCTTTCTGGGGTTTCTTCTGTTGTCGTTAAAAGTTGTGTACAGACACAGGCAGAGTTAGTCTGTCATCCCACTGGGAAGGAAAAGGGATTCTTCCCTTCCCCCCCCATGCCCTGCCCTAGATTTAAGTTCGCGAACGAACGTCCTCTCAGTAAATTTAGCAAGCTTCAGACTCACTTCCTTTTGTGAGGAGACCTGAAAGAGCCGTTTCCTGATTCGTACAGCGCTCTTGTATGCGC